GAAGCAGCTGTCTTTTCTTCCTCCTCCTGCTCAATGGTAGGGCCGGCCCTGAATGCCTCTCCTTTGGCAAATTGAGAATGCACCACCCCCTCCATCACCCCCCACCCAATGATAGCTTTGAAAGCAGGCAATGTCCGCTTGCTCCCAGAGTCCAGGACAAACATGCCAGCTGCACCCTCCAAATCAAGAGGGCACCTGGGGACAGTGGGTGCCCTCAGGGCAAGACTTTGGGGCACACACCCCAAAAGGGACACAGGAAGCTGCCTTATGCTGAGAGCCAGAGCCTTGATCTAGCTAGCTCAGTATTGTCTACACTGACTGGCAGCAGTGGTTTCAACCTGACCTGAGGGGGTGTTATCAGAAGCTCCCCCCCCCACCAGCAGCCATGGGACTGCTGGTGAAGGAATACATACATTTAAATAGGCCGTAGAGGTCCCTAGACATCTGTAGACCATCAAGTCTGCCGTCTAAAATGACCTAATTGCACCACTGCTTAAGGAGGGGTCAGGAAGGGAGAACCCCCAAAATAAGCAGAGCTCCCTCCCTCCTTGGAGAGCATCGGGAACAGGGTGGGAATATAACCTGAGCCGGGGGGGGGGGAGAGACACAGGTGGATGGAGCAGGAAAGGTAACCCCCACAATAAAAAAAACGCTCACCTTTGCCAGCAATGAAGATGGCTATTGATAGCTACCAGCTATTCTTTGTCTTTACGGTGGGAGGCAGCAATGGTTCTGAATCCCAGTTGCTGGAAAGTTTGGGAGGGGAGACGGCTCTTGAGTTCGGGTCCTGCTTGAAGCTTTCCCCAAAATAATCATCTGGCTGGCCACTGCGAGAACAAGGGGGATGTGCTAGGTGGGCCATTGGCCTTACCTGGCAGGCCTGTGTTGTGTTCAGCGGTCCTCAAGCCCCACCGTGCGCCCCCAGGTCCGTCCTCGAGGATGCCCAGGGTGAGAACTGCTCAGCCACCCCTCTCCCAGGGCGCTCATAATGCCCAGGCCGGTTAATGATTACCGCGGCTGCAAATATTTGAGGATTGCTTCGGGGATGCAAAGTACAGGGCACAGGAAGACTCGCGAGGGGCCTTGGCAAAGCTCAGGGCTGGCCTCCTCCACCCTGACCCACTGGAGAGGACACTCCCCAGCCCCACCCCAAGAACCAGCAGGCGGGGAGGAGCTCCCTCCCACCTTCCCGTCAATGCCCCTCTCCCCTGCGTCTGTAGAACTGAGAAGCTGGTAGGGGTTAATTCCTGGTTCGTATTTTTAAGAGGAAGTGTCAGGCTTAAAGACTGCAGCCCCACCCTCTCTAAACCCTTTCCCCTAGAACGCTCCAGTTCCCCTGGATGAACCAGGTGTACGCAGTGGGACAAGGGAGGGTGCACTCTGCACATGCTCAGAGGAACACCCACTGGCGGTTTCCCCTTTCCGCAGGGCTGTCTGTCCCTTGCTCACGCCCAGCCCTGTTGGGGGGTGGGAAAAGGGAATCAGGCTGGCCCCTGTTGGCACAGCCCCACCTGCTGCTGACAGGATCTGTGCCATCGTCAGCATCATCATAGAGGGCAATGTGGCATCCTGACTTCTAATAAGCTACAAAGTGGGGGGACAAAAGAGCAAGCGAAATCTCCATAACTACAAAAAAAGGGGTCAGCTATAGTGGGATGGATGTATCTCTCAATATTGGTTCATTTCCCCAGTCTTAAATTTATTTCTCTACATTTCTGCAGCAATTTGCATTAAAACACACACACACAATTAAGATTTGCAAGTATTTTAGTGCAATTTTCTCCTGATAAACCCATCTTTGCATTTGACAAATGTACACATTTTTGTAAGCCGTTTCCCCTAATATAATGCAATGGTCTCTGCTCTTTTCACTAATACAGGCATTTATGCGCACACTTTATCCCAGTAAATGCATCTTGCTATACATTATGTGGCTGGAGGAGTGCATTGCAAAATTCAGAGCGGTGCAAAATTCAAAGGGAGGCTGCATTTCAGTTCAAGGGCCCTTTTGGCAGCTGCCAAAACTTCAATTGCCCCCAAATGCAGACTTGCAGGACTTGCGGCTTTTGCTCTGGTTATGAAAATATGTGGAGTTTAGCATTAGCTGGAAAAAACCCCTCATAAATTACTTGTGGCCTAAGGCCTGGAGGACCCTGAGATTTTATCTCGTATGCAACAAACAACCTCTCCTTGGGGCAACGTGAAAACTGGCTTTCGTAAGGGTCCTAAATACTTTGCCAAGCTAATATCCATTCTCTCCCAGATGCTCTGTGCTGCTTTCTTGTGCTTCTCCTATTTATTTATTTATTTATTTATTTATTTAGTATTGATTTGTTTTATTTACTTCAATAAAAAAATAAAAATAAAAAGACCATTCCGGAATGTTCAAATCTGGCAAGTTCACCTTTGAACTTGAACTAGATCCAATATCTCCTCCCATGCTTCTACCCAGTGACCCAGAAGTGCCAATAGGGGCTGGTGGAGAACTTGCTAACTCAGAACACAAATGCAACCCCCCCCCATCACCACCACAAAGTCCAAGATGCTCCTGAACTTCCGCATTCCTCCTCCTCTGTTTGGGGCTACACAAACTCATGCATGCACGCACAACGATCACCTACTGTCACCCAGGACCGAAAGCCCCATTTCTCTGTCAGGCATGAAGGTCAGTTGTGGGGCTTCCGTTCCTCCTCCCCCCCCATGGGCCTGGGGGCCCTGCTGTCTAATCTCAGGTGGGGACAGGGGGCCTTCAAGCTCCCCTGATCCTCTTGCACTGCATTCCCAGCCTTCTCCAAGGAGTGCAACCTACCTTAGGGTGCCAACGGGACGTCCCTTGCAGATGAGTTGAGCTGCAGAGGTCTTTTCCGGGTGCAGGGGGCCTCTGGGCAGAGGGCAGCCCCAGCCAGGCCTCACTGAGCATCTGGGGCAGAGGGACCATCCTCAGCCCCCCTCCCTCCGTTTTTAGAGCCAACCCCTGCAGGCACAGACCCTGCCCTTGAATGGGCTTCTGACCTCAGCCTTCTGCTGGCAGGCCCTTGGGTGCTGTGGGAGGCCCAGTTGGGTGCCTGCCTTGCTGACTGCTGGAAAGGGAGGCTCCTTTCCTCTCTTATCTCCTGCAAGCAGTTGGGTGCAACCTGAGCCCAGCCAAAGGCTGCATTTTCAAGTTCTGCTCTGTTTTTTCCTGGCAGGGCTCGGCAGTCTTGGTCCCTTAGCTCCTGGCAGGCAGAATTTCAGGAGCAAAAGCGCTCTCTCTTTTTTTATTTTCCTGACATGGATGGGAAATGGCATGCAGAGCTACACCTGTTGGATGTTTGCCTATCCTTCAACCACTAAAAGTCCGGGAGTTCCATGCCCTCTAACATTTCTCGAATGAAAATAGGGACATTTCTCACTCTCCCCCAACTGACCCTCCTCAAACTCCCCCCCCCATTTTTGTCCCCCACCTGCAAAGCATTTCCTATCAAAAGAGAGGCAGGTGCCACCACCATTACACCAAAGGGACACAGCACACACGCCCTGCGAAAACCCCTTAATCCCGATGTTATTTTATTTTTTTCTTCGGGAGATTTACAAAAAAAAAAAAACCCACACACCAATAAATAAATTTTAGAAAGGGGCAAGAGACACAAAGCATTTAAAAAAAAAAACACAAGACACCTAGTGCACTGCCAAAGAGCAAGCCGGCAGTAAATCACACTGTTCAATGTTGGAGTTAACTCTTTATTAGCAAAAACAGGATTTTCACAGACTTGGCTGAGTGTCAGGCCTAAGGAGCACAGCAAGTTGGTCTGGCCCCATTAATCAGTTGCCAAGACCAGGCATAGGCAAACTCGGTCCACCAGATGTTTTTGGCCTACAACTCCCATGATCCCTAGCTAGCAGGACCAGTGGTCAGGGATGATGGGAATTGTAGTCCCAAAACATGTGGAGGGCCAAGTTTGCCTATGCCTGGGCAAGACTGAAGGTCCTCTTGACTGCAGGGCTTTCTTCCAGGCAACTGGAGACTGTGCCTGCATGTAGCCTGTCACTGTTCTGCCCATTTTAGCCCTCTTCTGATTCTATCGCAACACCTGTGACTCTTCACCAGCCTAACCTGCCTCTCGGCTTCCCCCTCTCCTGCTTCAGCTTCTGCCTCTGATTCTGGACTTCTTTCTGCCACCGACTCTCCCAGCTCACTAAGCCCTGTTGCCTCTTCCCAGTCTTCTCCCTCTGACCACTCATTGTTGGGATACTGCCAGGGAGACAGGGGCATTTGGCAGGCCCCCAGCTGGCTCCAGCCACCGGCCGGCAGCCAGGCAATCTCCAGTACAGCATCAATCAGGGACACGAGCCTCAGATACGTTTAGAGACTCGGCACGCTCTTATCAGCAGAGTGAATAACTTCTCACAACGGAAGTGGCGTACAGAGACATGTGTAAGCATTATTTACAAGCATTTATTCAGCATAGTTCAGGAACAAAGGAAAAAACATGTCTGCTTCCCTTCGTGTCCAAGCACACAGCAGTATAGCAAAAGCAATATACAAACGGAAATTCCAAGCAAGCCTGTGCTGGAAGTAAACAGGCATGTGACACACAACAGTCATGCCTGTTCCTTTTAAGGTGGAACGGAACTATATCCTAACACCACCACTCCCCAGGCTCAGGATATCCTTCCCTTGCTGGTTCCCCAAGCTGGTTGCTCCCACCTTTCCTCTGCATCCAACGAGTCTGTGACATGCCTCTATTAAGAAACAGTGCTTCTGGGCATGTGCCGAATGCCTTCTCCTCCTCGGCACTGGGGAGCTGCTCCCAGCTCATGCAACTCTGGCCTTAGGGGCCCCAGTGGCCAGCCTGAGCCCTCCAGTAGCTCTGCATGGGTGGGCGGGCTACCCTAGGAGACAGTGGGAGTTCAGGAGAACCCTGGACTAGTGAACTCACAATGGGGCGCTGTGTGGCGGGCAAGGAAATTCCAGAACGCCTCCACTTGGCCTCAGAGTCACAAGCCACCTGACCAGCGCCATGGCTTCCCCCAGGGAGCTTCTGCTGCCCCTGACCCTAGTCTGGGCGCTGGTGCTGCTGGGAGGGACAAAGGGGGCTGGTCCCGAGGGTCCCTGCGAAGCACAAGTACGATATCGAGAGAGCAGCTCGGAGACTGGCGGCAGCTGGCTTGGCACAATTGCTCTGCTCAGCAGTGTTTGTGCCACGTGGCTTTTTGTTTTTTACGCAATCCATTGCCTATGTGCCAGCAAGGACCGGTGCAGCCAGGGGCTAGAGGGGGACTGCGACCTGCGTTGGAAGGTGAGGGAACATCTACCTGTCTTCCTGTGTACCTACTGTCAGAGGGAGCCGGCAGAGAGAACAGGTTGTCTGCACAACAGAGAAAGACTGGGAAATACCAGTTAACTTTATTTATGAAGGAAGCGGAACAGAGAACACGCAGAGACTTCTATGGGTTTCTCCTGTCTTAGCAGTTCTCCGGACTGGCTTGTAACTCCCTGCTTCACTCTCTAACCTTCTGTGTCAGGCCTCTTCCTCCGTCTACGGCGAGACTCAAAGGACCCTCTCTGTTTCTGCTTGGTGACACACAGTAGACGCCTTGATCTGGGAGTTTGTGGGGCTTGCAGGCTGCCAGCAGAAAATCTGTCGGGGTGTTTCTGCGGTGCAGATGACAATCTGATTCCTGTTGGCTGGGGCACCTGCCTATTCCCCCCCCCACCTTCCAAGCTCCCAGCATCTAGCACATCCCAGCTTTTCCCCTCCTTTGAGGTGCGGCTGGTTTCCCACCACCAAGAGCCTGGATCCACATTTTCTCCCTGGAGGAAAGGTGGCTCAGGTGGGCTTCCACCTTGGTCAGGTGGCTTCAGGGCCATCTTTAGCAGGTGCAGCGCCGGGGTGCAATCCGCCCAGCGCCCCCAAGTTACCCCTGCAGAGGCTTGGGAGTGAAATTGCACCCCTCCCAAGCCTCCTCGAGAGGAGAGCGATCCCTGCAGAGGCTTGGGAGGGAAGCTGTGTGCCCGTCAGCCATATGGTTGGCGGGGCGCAGCTTCCATCCTAAGCCTCTGCGATGATCGCTCTCCTCCCGAGGAGGCTTGGGAGGGTAGCTGCATGCCTGCCAGCCTTATGGTTGGCGGGGCGCCACTGGCGGGTGTGCAGGGAAAAGGGAGGCCGCCAGCAAAGCCCCTGAGAGGCTGGCGCCCTGGCGCGACGCACCACTAAGCCCTATGGGAAAGACGGCTCTGGCTGGCTGGCTTCCATCACTCCTCATCCAGCCAGTCCTTGACACCGACCTTCCCATCCATCTGCCCCATTTACAGTGGTACCTCGGGTTACATACGCTTCAGGTTACATACGCTTCAGGTTACAGACTCCGCTAACCCAGAAATATTGCTTCAGGTTAAGAACTTTGCTTCAGGATGAGAACAGAAATCGTGCTCTGGCAGCGCGGCAGCAACAGCAGGAGGCCCCATTAGCTAAAGTGGTGGTGCTTCAGGTTAAGAACAGTTTCAGGTTAAGTACGGACCTCCGGAACGAATTAGGTACTTAACCAGAGGTACCACTGTATCTTCCACCTTTCCTCCTAGGAGCTCAAGGTGGCAAACGTACTTCTCCTCTTCCCCATCTTATCCCCACAACACCCCTGAGAGGTAGGTGAGGTTGAGAGGCAGTGACTGGCCCCCGAGGTCACACCCAGTGAGTTCCATGGCTGAGTGGGGATCTTAACCCCATTCTCCCAAGTCCTGGCACGACACTAACTGTGACACCACACCGGCAGGAATCAGCGAGAATCGACTACTTTAGAAGGCAGCTCTAGCCTCTGCTGCTCATGCATTGGTGATCTCTGGAATAGGCTACTGCAATGCTCTCTGTATGGGGCTGCCGTGGATGACAGTAAAGTAACTTCTGCGGGCGCAAATGCAACTGTCTCTTATTGTAGCAGATGCACCATTTGTGGGTGGATTTCTGGGCCCGATTTTAAGTGTTGACCTTTAAAATTGTATATGGAGTATTAAATGTGTCAAATGTTATTTCATCTTTCCCCCCCATTTTCATACTTACCAGAACATGTCTGTCCCACCTGTGGTTTTTTTCCCCAGAAACATGTGGTTTTTGTACACATTGTTTTCCCTCTCCAAAAGCGGGCATTTTTACAAGCGAAGGTGCACCCTAAATAAAACACACATCCCAAAATTTGGAACATTTATAAAAGATTTAAACAGCACAGATTCCACCCTGGGGTAGGGGGATCCCGTTGTTCACTTCCTCCTTTTTTTTTTGCAAGAACTGCCCTCTTGTTCCTCCCAAGATTCCTGCTCTTTCACCAGCTATTCTTAGCCATAACAAGAGGATCTGCCCTCTTATCCCAGGACTTGCTGAGCTTACTCAGGAGCCTGGGGTGGAGAGACTATGCCAAAAGCCTTTTGAGGGTTTGCTGGATCCCTCGTACCTGGAGATTTACGGAAGGCTGGCAAGATCTGCCTCTCAGCCAGGCTTGGAGCCTTTATCCATTGATGGTACATTTCTCAGGGGCCTTCTATAGGGGCCCACATGCTTGTGGTGGGTGGGGCCACAGTCAAAAGTGAGTGGGGTCCTTTCCTTCTCTTCCACTTCCCCCCATTTTTCCTCTCCCCAAAACGAGGGCTGCATGAATTGGGCTGAGGTTGGCAGCTGGCCACCATGGCAGGTTTCAGGCTGCCCACCCTTCTCCTCTGTGTTTGACCACCCTACCCTCAGAATGATAGAACTGTAGAGTTGGAAGGGACCGCCAAGGGTCATCCAGCCTGACCCCCCTGCAATGCAGAAATCACAATCAAAGAATCCCTGGGGACAAGTGTTTGTTCTGACTGGTCTGTTGCCTCTTCTCTTCCCCAAACAGGGCGGCCAGGCAGCTTGTGGGGAAGGAGAAGAGAACCACCTCGCTGCATCTCAGGAGCTGGCTTGCACCCGGACCAGGGGCACGTCTCACAAGCCGGTCTGCAGCCAGGCCCAGCAAGCCTACGCCCGGCAGCTGGCCTGCATGGAGCAAGAACTGGAAGGCTTCCTCTCCGAGGTGAGGAACCGGCGGAACGCCCTCGGAGACATCGTGGTGGAGGAGAGGTGCCCCCAGAACACGGAGCGGGGCCAAGACAAGCTGCGCATCACTGTCTATGAGATCTCAGACACCGAGGGGTCCGGGCGGCCGCAGCAGAGAGGACGCAGGCGGAAGATGCAACTTTCATATTAATTATATAAAAAAGACATACATGAGAGCTGAGTTGGCCTGGCTTGAAACATGGGTGCACATGGGTGTATATGAGTATACATGAGTGCACATGCATGTACATGTGTGTATATTGGTATACATGGGTTATGTGGAAGTGCCTGGGGGTATACACTGGTATACCTGAGTGCATTTGAGTGCATGGCCTACACACGGGTGTGTACATGGGTATACATGAGTGCACATGGGTGCATGTGAGTATACATATTTGTATGGGGGACACGGGTTGTGCTGTGGTCTAAACCACTGAGCCTCTTGGACTTGCTGATCAGAAGGTCGGCGGTTCTAATCCCCATGAAGGAGTGAGCTCCCATTGCTCTGTCCCTGCTCCTGCCAACCTAACAGTCTGAAAGTGCAAGTAGATAAAAAGGTACTGCTCTGGCGGGAAGGTAAACGGCGTTTCTGTGCACTCTGGTTCCGTCATGGTGTCCCGTTGTGCCAGAAGCTGTTTGGTCCTGCTGGTCACATGACCATAGGCGCCGACTCCATGGGGCCTGAGGGGGCCCGAGCCCCCTCAAAAATTCGTTTGGGGGGGCTCTGCCCCCCCAATAATTTAAGAAAATTATTAGGCACCTTGCCAAAAACCGCACAGGGGACTCCGGCGCGCGCCTCCCAAAGTGACCGGGAGCTCCTGAGAAGGGGCGGGCAGGTCGGTCAGTCAGAGGAAGACCCCCAGCGGCGGGACTTTAGAAAGGAATGGAGCCGCGGGGCCGAGGAACGGCGTATTTGTCGCCGGCAAGGGACCGGGGTGAGGGGAGAATGGAGGGGACGGGAGTTCCCGCCGCCGGAGCGGGGCTTTTTTTCTGGGTTCGGCTAAGGTGACGTTGGTAGAAGGGGGTGGCCGCCTCCCGGCGCGAAGCCTGGGGAGGGCAGGCCGGTTCTTGCATGCAAAAGCACCACTGCCATCCTGCCGCCAGTATGGACCCCGGTATGGGCCCCCCAATATTTTTTATAAGTCGGCGCCCCTGCACATGACCCAGAAAGCTGTCTGTGGACAAACGCTGGCTCCCTCGGCCTGAAAGTGAGATGAGCACTGCAGCCCCATAGTCACCTTAACCGTCCAGGGGTCCTTTACCTTTTTCCCCTACATATTTGTATGGGTTACTTGGGGATATACATGGAAACATATGGGTGTACGGGGGTGCACATGGATGCGCTGTGGGACTTCATGTGGCTGAAGAGAAAGTGCTATGAGATCAGAGCTTGAGTAAAGATGGGCAGTCATGCTTAGCTACAGAGCCTAAGGGGAGCCAAGAGGACTCAAATGTTATTATTTATTTTATTTATTGCATTTCTATCCCGTGATTTTCTCCAAGGAGCTTTATTATTGGCTTCTGCACCAAAGGAGCTAAGCCTATCATTGCCGTATTGGGAATAAAACATGGAGAGAGGAGACATTTGAACCCAGTCCCCTGGATCTTAGTCACAATCCTGCATATCCTCCAACATTTCTCCAGTGAAAATAGGGGTGTCCTATTCTATTATTGGCGGCACGCGGGTGGCGCTGTGGGTAAAAGCCTCAGCGCCTAGGGCTTGCCGATCGAAAGGTCGGCGGTTCGAATCCCCGCGGCGGGGTGCGCTCCCGTTGTTCGGTCCCAGCACCTGCCAACCTAGCAGTTCCAAAGCACTCCCGGGTGCAAGTAGATAAATAGGGATCGCTTACTAGAGGGAAGGTAAACGGCGTTTCCGTGTGCGGCTCTGGCTCGCCAGAGCAGCGATGTCACGCTGGCCACGTGACCCGGAAGTGTCTCCGGACAGCGCTGGCCCCCGGCCTCTTGAGTGAGATGGGCGCACAACCCTAGAGTCTGTCAAGACTGGCCCGTACGGGCAGGGGTACCTTTACCTTTACCTTATTCTATTATTATTATTATTATTATTATTATTATTATTATTATTATTGTTATTATTATATTTTATTTATACCCCACTCATCAAACTGGGTTGCCCCAGCCACTGTGGGTGGCTTCCAACATGTATAAAAACATAATAAAACATTACACATTAAAAAAAAAACACTTCCCTATGCAGAGCTGTCTTCAGATGTCTTCTACAGGCTGCATAGTTACTTATCTCCGTGGCTCGGGGTGGGGTGGGGTGTCATATAACTCCATACCCTCCAACATTTATCCAATCAAAATAGAGATGTACTAAAGCAAAGCAGGACATTCTGGGATCAAATCAGAAACTGGAACGGCTTCTGTAAATCTGGGACTGTCCCTGGAAAATAGGGTCTGATGCTGTTGGGTCTGATTTATGCGGAGACTTGTTCAGATCACCTCAGCAGGGACTGGAGTCCCCATCTATTGGCAGAATGAATAACCAGCAAGGTCTTACCTTGTTAGCAAGCAGGACGGTACATCTACTGCAGACTGATCAATAACAGATGTCAAATCAGAAGGAGTCCAGCTTTCCTCCAGCCCAAGGCAGCGATGGCGATGATGACACAAAGGAGGTCAGCTGTGTGACTCTGGGCAGGAGGGAGGCTGGGTCAGAGGGGCCTCTGGCTTGCATGAAACACCAGGCAAAGCCAGTGCCTCCCTGCCCGCCCCACTTTCTGGCTTCCCCAAGCTCTTGGCCATGGCTGTCAAAAGCTCCTCGCTGGCGTGGTCCTTCCTGGCCGTGGTCTTCATGATTGCAGGGGCCGCTGCCGTCCAGAGCGCCTGCGGACATCACTACCGCTACCGCAAGCCACGAGCCGACACCTACGAGTGGCAGGGCTACTTTGTGGCCCTGACCATCCTCCTGGGCAGCGGCTGCGGCCTGGCCTGGTGCATCCTCATTGTCACCTACAACATGGGCCAAAGGGGAGGCCAGGAGTTGCCACAGATCCCCTCTGCAGGTGAAGAGATGCCCGCAGCCATGGTGAGCCTCAGGGAGCTGGTGGGGCGGGAAGGAGGCAGGTTGCCAGTGCGAGAAGGAAGCGGAAGGGAGCCCCTTCTGTTGCAGGAGGCCAGGTGGTCACTTCTGCGGACCTCCAGAGGTTGCTGGACGCAAGAACAGCCCGTAGGTAGCTCAGGCCAAAGGGAGGGGCCTGTGCAGTCCAGCACCCAGTTCTCACAGTGGCCAAATTCCCCATGGAACCTAGCAATTCAGATAGACTGCCTCTGTGCCTGGAAGTTCCATAACAACCTAAGCTGAGCCTCCCAGCTGGATCAGGCCTAAGGGGGACCAACTGGTCCAGCATCCTGTTCTCACAGTGGCCAACCAGATGCCCCAGTGCAAACCCAAAAGCAGGACCCAAATGCAAGGGCACTCTCCCCGCCTGCCGTTCCCAGCATCTGGTATTATTCATACTGACTCTGACAGTGGTGGTTCCACACAGCCTTCTCCTCAATGAACTTGCCCAACCCTCTTTGAAGGTGGCCATCGCTGCATCTTGTGGCAGTGAGTTCCAAAGTCTATGCACTGTGTGAAGAAGGACTCTGTTTCGTCTGTCCTGAATATTCCAACATTCAGCTTCACTGGGTGGCCCTGAGTTCAAGGATTATGAGGGCGGGATAAAAACTTTCTCCTTATCACCTTACACCAGGCATATTTTTACACACCTCTGCCATCTCATCCTCCTCCCTCTTTCTCTCCTTTTCTCTAAATTCAAAAGACCCAAATGTTGTAGCCTTTCCTGGTAGGGGAATTGCTCCACCGCCTTGACAGTTTTGGGTGTTCCTTTCTGACCATCTTCTACGATATCCCATTGGATCAGATACAAATGGTATAATGACCATTGACAGGTGTGTCTAAAGACAGGGCCAGCCCAATAAATGATGCCGCCTGAGGCCAAGGACAAGATGGCTGCCACACCTTCTTCCAGGAACAAAAGCTGACCAAGCTGGCCATCGAACGTCGATTCCTCCACTGCACCAGAGGGCAGGAGACAACGACCACGTTCACACCAGACATATAAAGAGCTATCACTTTAAACAGTCCCGTAGCATTCTGGGAGCTGTAGTTTGTAAAGGTGCTGAGAGTTGCTAGGAGACCCCTATTCCCCTCTCAGAGCAGCTACAATTCCCAGAGTTCCCTGTGAAGAGGGAATGGTTGTTAAAATCATTATGGGAACTGTAGCTCCGTGAGGAGAACCAGGGGCTGCCTAACAACTCTCAGCACACCTCACAAACTACAGTTCCCATTGATTATTTGTTACCACTATTTAAAATGGTAACATGGTGCTTTTAATGTGTGGTGTGGATGTGGCCTTGCTTAGTGGGTTCAGAACAGGCATACACAGCTCTGCCCATTTTTTGACCCTCAGTATGTGCCGCCTGAGGCAGCAGTCTCACTCTGCCTCATGGCTGAGCTGGGCCTGTGCATCAGGATTGGGTGGGGTTGTAAGTTGCCCTGAGGTCAGAGGGAAATTAAATGAAGCAACTGCAGATAGTGGCAATTCAGGAGAGAATGTTTTAATTGTAATTCGGCCATTATAAGGTGGCACCTCTCTTTGTCCAAATATGGCTGCCTTAAAATAAATAGCTGAGTATCTTTGTAGGTTAAAAGGTCCTCCTACTATCTTCTCAATATTGTCATTTCTGATTTTGAATTTGGGTCAGGCAGAGGGATCGGTTAGGCAGAGAGAATCCTGTGTCTTGGATGAACAAGGGAGGTGGGGAAAGGATGGGTAGTTAGGAATACTTTTGTTGAAGAGGGGGTCCTGAGGAGGGCGGCTTTTACCATCAAAGCTACACTGATCTCACCATATTTGCAGGCAAAATAGGAGTCAGGGGCTAGGAATAGAAACCAGAGGGGCCTGACCTTGTAAGGCCCTGAAATGTGAACTCTTTTCTGCTTTGGACAGGGCCACCAAGACAAACTGACACTGAGCCCAGGGATGAACCGTGAAAGGTCCGTCAGCTTTGCGACCCTGCCTGGGCTGAAGAGCCAAGTCACAAAAGAGGAGGACCAGCCTTGGCTGAAGCGACAAGTCTCAAATGAGGAGGTTCGGACGAAGTCCCAGTTGGACACAAGCATAGGAAGTCGGACGCCGTCCCAACTGAACTTAAACCAGGGGGTTCGGGCCCCATCCCAGATGAACGCAAGCGAGGCAGTTAGCAGCCCGTCACAGATGAACACAAATGAGGGGGTACGGACCCTGTTCCAGATGAACGAGGCAAATAGGGTTCCAGCCCAGATGAACATGAATGAGGGGATGAGGGCCCAATCCCAGGTGGATGAAATGATTGGGAACCCCTCCCAGATGAACACAAACGGGGCAATTTGGACCTCCTCCCAGAGGAACATGAACGAGGTGAACAGGGCCCCCTCCCAGATGAACACGAATGAGGCAATTTGGACCGCATCCCAGATGAACACGAACAAGGTGATTTGGACTTCCTCCCAGATGAAAGCAAATGAAGCAGTTTGGACCCCCTCCCAGAGGAACATGAACGAGTTGAAAAGGACCCCATCCCAGGTGAACATGAAGGAAGCAATTTGGACCCCCTCTCAGAACGAGGTGACTAGGACCCCAACCCAGAATAACATAAACAAGCTAAAAAGGGCCCCAACGCAGCTGAACATAAATGAAACGGTTGGGACCCCATCCCTTCCACCTCAGCAGGAAGGCCAGTCCTCCAGGCCCGAAGAGCAAGGCGGTGGCACTCTGTGGAACTTCATGGAGCAGGAGCTGGAAAGGCTTCTGAGCGCCCTACGCCTCCACCGGACCCCCACGCCAACCCCCGCGGCGGAGGAGACGCCTGCCCCTTTGGCCAACGATACTCCGAGTGCCCCAGCTGAGGAGGCTCCGAAACCCCGGGCTGAGGAGGTGCTGGGCCTCGACCAGACTGAGGACAAGGAGACCTTGATGCACCTCATCATCTGTGAAGTCCCCCAAGACAGAGGAGCCACCAGGGGTCGGGGGCGCAAGAGAAAAGCAAGCAGAGGACGCAAATAAAGTGCAGAGAATGAGAGAGGGTGGTAGATCGGTGTGTCTGTTGTGAGACAGGAGGAGTCATTGGCAGAAACGGCTTCCTTCGCCGCCACCCTCCTGCATATATCCCCAGGAGATTCCTTGATTTTAAAGCAGTTCTTCATCCCAGGAGCTCCGAAGGGCCTACATGACCCTCATAGAATTGCAGAGTTGAAAGAGACCCCCCAAAGGGTCCTCTATTCCAACCCCCTGCAATGCAGGAATAGGAGGAGCCACCCTGTTAATCTCAAAGCAACCCTGGGAAGTAGGCTAGGCTGCCCCAAGTATACCCAGTGAGCTTTGTGACTGAGCAGAGTTTTGAACGCAGGACTCCCTCTTCTAAGTCCAACAGGCCGAACTTCCCCCAAACCTGGTGCCGTGGGTGTAGCCAGGATTTATTTTAGGGGAGGAACAGGCTTTATGGGGGGTGGGGAAGTAGAACTGAGCTATCTGTGATGCAATTGGTCAGTTAGTTGAGTATTTTTATTTATTACTTGATTTAGTGGGGGGCAGCGGTCCCACTGCTATGCCCATGCCTGGTGCCCTCCAGATGTTTTGGACTACAACTCCCAGCAAGTCCCAGGCAGCACAGCTGTATGATGCTAGGATTGGAGGGAGCTTGTACTGTAGTCCAAAACCTTAGGCCTGTTGCTCTCAGGCTAACCCGGCTGTCAGGAGCCAGAATCCAAAACAGTGCAGGCCTAGTGCTCCTACCAACTCTTCCCAGCAGGCAAATTGTCCCATGAACTAAAAGTTATCTAAAGGGCAGAGCTCAAATGACCTTTTTCCACACATGATTTCATATCTTATACAAATACCAAGGGAAATGGTTTCTCAGCGCCACCAGTTTTTGCCAATGTCTGGTTCATTTAAGCTCATATAGAACCTTTATTCTCTATCATGATGGAACCTGCAGGTAGATAGTGCTTTTATTTTTCAAAAGTCTTTACAGTGTTACCTCGGGTTACATACGCTTCAGGTTACAGACTCCGCTAACCCAGAAATAGTACCTCGGGTTAAGCACTTTACCTCAGGATGAGAACAGAAATCGTGCTCCGGCGGCGCGGCAGCAGCAGGAGGCCCCATTAGCTAAAGTGGTGCTTCAGGTTAAGAACAGTTTCAGGTTAAGTACGGACCTCCGGAACGAATTAAGTACTTAACCCGAGGTACCACTGTATTATTTGTAAAGGGAGGTTTGTATAAGCTAACACTTCATTATCCCTCTGGAGCTGCGCTGGATCTTTTGACGTGTGTCCTTCCAAGCTCGTGACACTTGATAGTTCAAATCTCTGAATCTTTGGGGGTTTTCTCTCTCTCTTTGTTATATTTGCACCTTTTTTGTTTATTTGTCAATTTTAAAAACAAAAACAAATCAGCTAAGAATGACCGCTGTGCCGCGAAGCTATGGCACTCTGCACATGCCCAAGGCGACGCTTTCCCCTTCTTCTGCGCGGCGGGGTGCAGTCTCGCCAGTGGCCGGCAGAGGGCAGCACGAGACAAGCTTTTCTCCTGGGGGGCGCCTTCGTCAGCTATCCCTCCGCCCCCTCCCCGCTCCCCAAATCCGGCCCCGTTTATCTCCCCGCCTCTTCGTGTCCGGCCAGGCAGATCCGCGGCGGGGCCGGGATGGGAAGGGCTAAGAGGGGCGCCCCGTAGCGCATCCCGCGCTCTCCAGGTGAGAACTGGGCAGCGGGCAAAGGAAGAAGGGAGTGGCGTCTAGCGGTTAGAGCAGAGGCTGCGGCTTAGCCAGGAAGACTCACTGAGCCCCCAAAGCCACCATTGGGGGGAGGGGAACGCAGAAAAAGAAAGCGCCCCCCCCCGCCTGCCAGTTGTGGAAGGAGGAGGTGCAACTCTGCCCCAGTTTAGCGATCCGGACTTGGGGCGCTCAGTTCTCCGGGAACTACGCTAGGCTTTATGGAGCTTGGGTGGGGTGGGTGGTAGCAGCGTGTCTTTCTCAGGGTGGCGGGTGGGGTCTCCCTTCCCCTGGGTGACGTCATTTCCCTTGCTGATAGGCGGCTGGGTGGGGAGTAGGTTTTCAGGGACCAGAATCTATTGCTAAAGTCCAAGGTGTGTCTGGAGCAGGAAGAGAGCGCCTCTGAGGCTGTGCCGAGTGCCTTTGCCTCGCTATCCTGTAGCTGCCAGCGACAACTGCACTTCCAGTTTGGGAGACCAAGGAGAAGGGGGGGGGAGCGGGTGGCTTCTGGTGGCGCTTGACCCCTGATCACCCTTCCCCTACTTTAAATTTGATGGAAATGGGAATGGATAATGGGACTGATAGATCAGAAGAAGGGAACCCGTCCCCACCCCTGTCAGAAAGCTGCAGGGCACTTTGGGGTCTATATCCCCCCCCCCCCACACTCTCCCTGCAGCTATGACATGTAACACAGGAAGCTTGCTTTATACTGAATCCAAAGCTCAGCCCATCTAGCTCTGTGCTGTCTATTATGGGGGCGGTAGGAGAGGGCTGAAGTGGGGGCTGTGCTCCCCCCCACCAGAATATCAGGCACCATTTCCCCACCTACCTTTGTATTTATTTATTGTATTTTAGGATTCAGTCTCCAGGTTGGGCTCCCAGCTGAAACCCTGGAATGCAGCTGCCAGTCAGTGTCAACTACACTGGCCTAGGTGGAACAATGGTCTGACCTGGTATAAAGTAGTTTTCTGTGATCCTATGCCCGGGATTGAGTTTGGGATAATTCTGTATGCGATGCGTGTGTGATGATGGCCACTAAGCAAATGGCCTTTCCCTAAAAGGAAACCAAGGCCCCAGTCCTCATGGTCCAGAATGAAGGGCTGATTTCTATAGGACAGAGGAAGCTGCCTTAGACTGAGCCAGACCCTTGGTACATCTAGGCCAGTGTTGTCTGCACTGACTGACAGTGGCTCTTCAGGGTTTCAGGAAGGGAAAATTTCCCAGCCCTACCTAGAAGAAGCTGTTGGGCATGGACCCTGGGGCCCTTCTGCATGCGAACCAGGCAAGGAGTTTAAATCAGCACCCTGTTCAGAACACTGAGGGCTAGCATCCTCATCGGTTTTGTATGCCACGGGTGGTGCTGTGGGTTAAACCACAGAGCCTAGGACTTGCCGATCGGAAGGCTGGCGGTTTGAATCCCTGCGACAGGGTGAGCTCCCGTTGCTCAGTCCCTGCTCCTGCCAACATAGCAGTTCGAAAGCACGTCAAAGTGCAAGTAGATAAATAGGTACCGCTCTGGCGGGAAGGTAAACGGCATTTCTGTGCGCTGCTCTGGTTCGCCAGAAGCGGCTTAGTCATGCTGGCCACATGACCCGGAAGCTGTACGCCGGCTCCCTCAGCCAATAAAGCGAGATGAGCACCGCAACCCCAGAGTCGGCCACGACTGGACCTAATGGTCAGGGGTCCCTTTACCTTTACCTTTAAGCCTGGGCTCTACTTCCCAGCTACAGCCCCATCCTCAAAGGTGGTATGGTGCAAGTCATGTTGCTTTTTTTAAACCAAAAAAAGTGCTCAAATGGGGTGCGGTGAGACCGATATCCCATAATGAAGCTCATGAGCATTACTTCCTGAACCCACTTCCCAATTTCCCACCAAATATCAGCCCCGGGAGCCTAGTTTTTTTAAAATAATATTTTAATAGAAGCATTTCGTTTATAAGAAGACAGAGTGACAAAAAGAAAGAAAAGAAAAGAAGAAATCTGAATGAGAATGAAAAAGAGGGAAAAAATACTCAGCTACATTTCCATACATGAGTATACAGATGTGTATAATCTTATTGTCCTAATACACACATAGTTATCAATAACCTAATACATTCTGCGTAAACTCATTCCAAATATCATTTGGATTTATCCAAAGAAAGTCTGTGTCTATAAGCTTTCTGTTCATATGTTGCCAATATTGCCACAATTAAGGGGAATTGTATCTCTCTTCCTCCAGTACATCAACAACAGTCTCTTGGTCACCATTAGGGCTGTCCCTGTTTTCGCTGTCCCTTTGTCAATTTCCATACAATGGGTATATAGTTCAAAAGAATATTCACCTCTGAAAATGTTGATAATTTTTTTTCTGTAGTGTCTTGTTTATATAGTCCACATTTCCCCCCAAATTTTAGTAAGTGTGGGACATAGTAAAAGTAGGAGCTAAATAGTTTTCCACCTGTAATTCAAGCATTGCTGGGAGGAACAATCCTATACAGTGGACGCTTGGGTTGCGAACGTGATCCGTGCGGGATGCACGTTCTCAACCTGCAGCGGCGCATCTGCGCACACGCGGGTTGCGATTTGGCACTTCTGCGCATGCGTGACCCCCAAAACCTGGAAGTAACCCGTTCCGGTACTGCAGGGTCCGTAACCCGAAAAAACGCAACCTGAAGTGTCTGTAACCCGAGGTATGACTGTACTTGCCAGGAAATACATCCCTCCCCCCCCCTCCCGAAAAAACCCTCCCACAAATCTCTGGAAACTACTAGTGTCCACCAATAAAGGACTTTGCCAGAATGCCCATGTGCTGCCCTTAGAGAGGGAGCCTGTGAACTCACTAGCCAATGAACTAGTAGCCATTGATAAGACCCTCTCTTCCATGAATTGATAAGACCTCTCTTCCACATTTTGCATACAGATAGGTAGCCGTGTTGGTCTGCCATAGTCAAAACAAAAAAAAAAAAAAAATAAAAATAAAATAAAAATTTTTTTAAATGACTTGCACCATACCACCTTTGAAGATGGGGCGTATCTGAAGAAGTGTGCATGCACACGAAAGCTCATACCAAGAACTAACTTAGTTGGTCTTTAAGGTGCTACTGGAAGGAAGTTTTTTTGTTTTGACATTTTGCATAGTTCAACTTTGCACTGCATGAAGGACTTTCTTTTATCCATCCTAGCTCTTGCAATGTTCAGCTTCAACGGATGTCCAGGATTTGTTATGGGGGAGAAGCTTTTCTCCATGGTCCACTTCCTCCATGCCATGCATAATTTTTTTATAAACTTTCATCAAACTCTCACTCACCTTTTCTCTGAACGAAAAAGTCCCCAACACTGCATAGGAAACTCGCTCCACACACACATTCCCCGCCTCGATTATGCTGTTGCCCTTTCCTGGACCTCTTCCAACTGTGCGATACCCGTTTTGAGGCGAGGCGACCAGAGCATAACTTGGATGGTCACGCAAGCTGCTTTTCTTGCCCTTCCAGCTTGCCCTGCTCCAGTAACACACACTCTTTGTTTCCTTGCAGAAAGCTGTGGATGAAGCCATGCCTGAGTAGCGTCACTTCCAGCTCATCTCAGCAGGCAACTTTCCCCAGCGGACTCAAGTGGGGCCTGGCCATCCTCATGGAAGGCTATCGCAGCCTGGAATGCATCCCTCCTCCACCTGCTGCCGCTGAACCAGACCACTGGGAGGCCCCCAATATGCCTCTGGGGCCCCCCTCAGCATCAGAAGCCTCGGTGTGCGGCAGGGGAAGGGATCCCCCCCAAGGGAGGGCGGAATCACCACCCTTGGGTGCCTCCCCCAGCAGCAATGGCCTGCAAGGGCCGCCAGCCACGCCTACCTGTGAGGTTGCCGGAGCGGGGCCCAGCCAGAAGCCCCTTCCTGGAAGCCAGGAAGCCCCCGGCCCTTTTGACCGCTCTGTCTCGGGCTCATCGACCTGTTCCTCGCTGGGAGGGTCCTCCCAGGAGTCGGACGACGTCTTCAGCGATGCCGAGGAAAGGAGCCCCCTGGGGAAGAAGCGGGTGCTGCGGAAGGTGAGGTGAGGGAGGGGGCAGTTGGGGTAAAGGCAGCAGGGGAGGGAGGGGAATCGTGCCCCCCCCCAAGGAGGCAGAGAGCCCAGCCTCAAGGCCCAGCGATTTCAGAGCAGTCAATGGGCTGGCTTGCTGTGGCTCTCTAGAACTTGAGAGGGAAATGTCCTTCTCAGCCCTAAGCCTGGGGCCTTC